TGTCTCACTACGCCGGGAGCGGGGCACATGTTGCGCGGTGGGCGCGGGGGTGGTGGTGGGGGCGGGGGGGTGGGGGGCGGGTGGGGGGTGGTGGGGGGGGGGGGGGGGGGGGGGGGGGGGGGGGGGGGGGGGGGGCGGGGGAAAAATGCCCCACGCCTGCGCAACGCACAAAGGCACCTCCCGGCAGGCGGCATCCGAGCCCTGGTCCGTGGGTGTTGGCGCCCCGCGCCGGCGTACGTCCGCCCCGGGCGCTCCTGGACCCCCGGGGCCGGCCCCTCTCCCTCACATCTCCCGCGAGGGCGCTTGTTTTTTCTAGTTCCGCCCGCCCATGGCCCCCTCCTCGCCGCCCTGTCCGGCTGGCCAGCGGCGGGTGGTGCGTAGGTCTGACCCCCCCCCCCCCCCCGCCCCCCCGCCCCCCCGCCCCCCGCCTGCTGCGGGCTCATCCGAGCAGCCGAGCGCGATCATGTCCCGGCAAAGGCTCTAGAGCCCGGGCGCCGGCGACTTGGCGTGTGAGCACACCCTGAGAAGCCCGGCGACCAGGACCGCGGGCGCGCGAGACCGGGGCCCGCAGATCGGCCTGGTCCCAGGCAACAGGCCGTGGTGGGGGGACACATTTTTCCGGGGCTCCTCCTGCTGGCCCCTTCCTCCTCGGGGCTCGGGGTGGGAGCGCTTCGGCCGCGGCGCTGGCAGGCGGCGGGCGGAGGTCCCGCGATCTTGGGCCTCCCCCGCCCCCCGGCCTGGCCGCGGTCTGTCGCCGCCGGCTTTCTCGCTCTGACCTCCGGTCCCTGTGCTGCTCCCTCTTTCCCCAGGCCTCTTCCCTCGCGCACGGATGTGCATGCATCTCGGTTTTCATGCGCCGGAGACCCGGCGCGCGGCGGGCTCTCACACTCGGCGCCAGATGCAGACAGGAAGTAGACGCGGCGGTGGGCCCCCGGCCATCTGAAAAGGCACACTGAACCCGGCCCTTGAGGGGAGCTCCCTGACGCATTCCTTGTGCGCGCGCGCGCGCGCGCCCGAGAGGCAAGGAAGGGCCGAGGCGGTGTGCCGGGCCGGACGCCGGCGCCAAGTCCGGCGCGCCGGCCTGGCTGGCGAAATATTGATGGCTGCGATCCGGGCGTCCGCCCTGCGTCCAACACTTTGGTCCCTTTCGGTGCGCAGGGACGGCCCAACGCGGCGGCCCCCCCCCCCCCGGGGGCACGCCCCCCCGGGCGGGGCCCGCCCCGCCGACCTGGGGCCTGCGCCCCCCCCCCCCCCCCCCCGTCCCCACTCCGCCCCGGCCTTCCGCCGGCCCCCCCCGCCCAATGGAGAAAATGACCCGCTCACCCTGGGCCGGTGTTCGAAGAAGGAAAAGCCATTGGAGGGTGGGCCGGGGGGGGGTGTTTGCCCCCGCCCGCCCGCCCGCCCGCCCGCCCGCCCGCCCGCCCGCCCGACTCCGCCCCCGCCCCCGATCCTGCCGGGAGGCGGTGGTACGCACCGCCGGAGAGACGGCATCCTGCGCCGGGCGTTCTTGAGCGCCCACATTCCAAGAAGGTCACGTAATTGCGCGGAATGGCATTCCAACAGGCCCCACGTGCGGCAATCACGTCCCCTCCAGAAGCTAGCCCACAATCGGCCACTGGATTTGGCGCAGCCGGTGCCCACCGTATATTGTGTTGGCGGGAGGGGGGGGAGACAGGGCGGGAGGGAGAGCGAGAGCAAAAACCGGAGGGGGACGGGCGGATGTCCAGGGGGCGCGAGCGGGCGATGGGCCTCTGCTTGTGGCCCGGAGGGGCTCCACCCCCTCAGGGCAAGTACGCCAGCTGGCCATCCGGCGTGCGGGTCACATAGTCCAAGTCCACGAGGTAGTCCACCACCGAGGCCACCTCGTCCTTGGTGGGGGGGCGGATTTGCGGGAACTTCAATTGCTGCCAGTTGGCAATCATGTCCCGCAAGGCCGCCACACTGGGCACCTGGCGGGTGATCTTCATGATGCGCACCGCCGTGGCTTGGTAGAATTGTCGGCGCCAGCCGCGAGAGCCATTGACCAGCGGCGGGGCCGTGGTGGCCATGGCCCCGGCCGAGGCACCAGGCAATTGCCCCGGCGCCGGGGACGTGGCAGCCGAGTGGGCCGCGGGTGCGGGCGGGGCGCTGGCGGCGCCGGGCGGGCTGGCGTTGGGCCCGGGGAAGGGCCGCGACGGGCTGCCGGTGGCCTGGCCGGCGCCGGAGGCCGTGGCCGCGGCCGCGGCCGCCGCCCTGGCCAAAGTCGATGCCAGGGACAACTGGTCCACGGCCCCCGGGCCTGGGGCAGTGCCGCTGCCCGAGGACGCCCCCGAGGAGGCGGTCGACGAAACCGTGGACATGGGCCGGAAGGACACGCTCGAATGGTCGGCCCCCTCGCTGGAGGCGGACCCCGAGCCGCCGGAGGGCAGGGTCGACAGGTCGTCCTCCATCGACATCGACCGGCCGGCCTCCGAGTCGACTGTGGCCCCCATCTGGAGGTCCAGCTCGGACACCTCCTCCAGCCCGGCCAGGCTGGCCAGCAGGTTGATGTTGAGCTCCAGCGCCGGGGCCGCCGGGGCGGGCAGATAGCCGGCCGTCGGGTCGGCGCCTTGGGTGTGGAGCCGGCTCCCGGCGGGGGCTGCCTGCATGTTGGCGACCCCGCTGGCGGGCGTGTCCGCAAAGAGGAAGCCATTGCCCCGGTAGGCCGGATCCTCGAGGGTGGCGCGTCGCATCGGGAAAAAGGCGATGTCCTCCTCGGTGCTGCTTGGGTCATCGTGTTACTTGCGGCGTGTGATGGGTGGGGGAAGGGGAGATGACGCAGGCCAGGTGCAGATCGTGTGCGTGTGTGTGTGTGTGTGTGTGTGTGTGTGTGTGTGTGTGTGTGTGTGTGTGTGTGTGTGTGTGTGTGTGTGTGTGTGTGCATGTGTGCATGTGTACATGTGTGCATGTGTGCATGTATACATGTGTGCATGTGTGCATGTGTGCATGTGTGCATGTGTGCATGTGTGCGAACGTACGGATGATAGGCCGGATTCAAATCCAGCACTAGGTCCGGTCCCAAATCCCACAGGCACACGTCCGCCTGCTGGGGAGGCGGGCCTTGCAAAAGGATTAGCCCCGCCTGGCAGAGGGGGCCTACCTGGAGGAGGAACTGCAGGGGGTCTTGCAGCCCCGCATGCTCCATGAAGTGTCCCACCGAGGCCGGGCCCCAGATCGTCAGCAGGCGAAGGATCAAGGCCTGGTGCGCGGTGGCGTACACCTCCACCGGGGCCGGCAGCCGGGGGGAGGTCATGCGCAGGCACGCGCGCCCGGCGTCATGCAGCCAGGTGAGCCGCCGCCCGGGGAACCGTGACACATACTCCGTCTCGAAGTGAAGGACCACACCAAGCAGCTTGGTCGGTCAAATGCCCGGTCGTGGTTAGGCACAGCATCGGGGATGGGAGGGCACAGCAAGGGGCGCGACAGGAGAGCAGATGCGACATGCAGGTCAGGCACCTCGGCCGGCAGCTGCAGCGTCGTCGGCCGCGGGCCATCCAGCGGCCCGGGCGACAGGCCAGAGCGTGCTTGGATGCTCGGTGTCAGGGGAAAGCCAAAGGTGTCGCTCACGCCGGTGGTCGACGGGGCAATCGAGGAGTTGGCTCGGCCCGGGACCATCGGCCAGAAGAAACGGTTGCACACGAGCACATGGAGCACCGGCGGTGGGGGCTGGCCTGCAGGAGCTCCGACCGAGGGAGACAGTGGCCCGTGTCAGGAGGGTGAGCAACGATGTCGGAGGAAGGACGGGCCGGGTGCACGGGCGGAAGCGGCAGCAGCAAAAGGGCCCCGAATACCACATGCACAGAGGGCAGATGCACGGGCCAAAGGGGCAAAACATACCATCGCGCGGCTGGTATGCCGCCGCTCCGCGCAGCGAGAGCATCTGCTTGTTCAGGGTGAAGGATTGTCCCGCGTCGCCGAGCATTCGCCGCATGGGGTAGATGTAGTTGCGCCCACACAGGAGCCCAAGGATGTTGAGGTACCGGCTCTCGAAAGCCATCTGCGCATTCCACAGGGCCAGCACACGCTCCATGTCCGGCAGGGGATTGCGCAGGAGCTTGTCCGCTCGGAAGAAGGACAGCACATTGTGCAGGAACATGAGCCGGTGGTTCAGGTACCCGATGTAGCATTGCCGGAAGTGGGACTTGTTGCTGAGGAATTTGAAGAGAAGCGTCGTGGCGGCCTGGACATTCTGAATGGCGTCTGGTTCATCGACATGCAGGGGCAGGGGGTTAGTCCCAGGCGAGCGGGGTATTTCTGCATCTGTGTATCTGTGTATCGGTGTGTGTGTGTGTGTGTGTGTGTGTGTGTGTGTGTGTGTGTGTGTGTGTGTGTGTGTGCGCGCGCATGGGAGAGGAGCGGGCCCAGGATGGGCGCAAGCTAGTCCTCCCGGACGAACCATTGTCCTCGCGTGGCTGAAAGCGCCCCAGGTGGCAGTCCTCGGTCAGCTTGAGGGAGAGCATCATCCCTCGAGGGGCGATACTGGACAGCTCCCAGCCGGCGAAGGAGAAGGCGATCAGGTGCATGGCAAAGGCCAGCTGCCGATAGAAGGGTATCAGGTGGTGCTCCGGGTCATTGAGGACCTCTCGAAAGGCCTTACCAGGCGAGGAGGGAGGACCCGCGGAGGGCATTAGCACGGCGCGAGGCGGGTGCGAGGAAGTGCGCGCGTGTGTGTTCGGGGCAGAGCTAATCCGCGGAACGGAATTGCGTGTGCGTGTGTGTGTGTGCGTGCGTGCGTGTGTGACCCCGAGCTGGCGCACCTTGTCAATGGAAGCCGTGAACAGCGGCTCATCATCGAAGAGGATGCGCACGCGTGACCGATGGCTCAGCAGCAGGCGACACATGTCAAGAACATAGGAGAAGGTGGTCTGGAAGGGGGCAGGCGCCAGGAGTCAGTCGGCAGCCTCGGCCGGGAGTGGGCGGCGGAGGGGGGACCAAAGAGAGACAGGGGAGAAAATGGAGACGCGGGAAGGGGGCACCTTGGCCGTGTTGCCCGGCTCGATGGCTCGAGCCTCTTGGGTGATGTGCGCCTGCAAGGTAGTCTGGAAGGAGGTCAAGCCCTCGGGCACAAAGCTGACCAGGTGGTAAATCTTGGATAGCTCTGCCCAGCCCAACACCAGTGACGGTCAGTGGACAGAGGACGGGGAGCGGGGGGGGGGGGGGCGGATGGCAGGCGGAAGCATGTGCATTCCGGAGGAGAAAGGAAGCGGGCAGGAGGAGGCGAGGGCATGCGCACCGGTTGTGGCATTCTGCCGGATGAGGGCCTCGGCCTCGGAGGAAAACAGCCGCAGATGGTCCCCCACGAGGCTCTGCCGGACTTGGGCCAGCAGCTGAAGGAAGAGGTAGGACGGTCAGCAGGGCAGGAGGCGGGGAACCCCCCTTCGTGAAAAAATAGAGCCCCCAGTCATCCGCGCATGCGATGTAGCAATGGCAGCGAGGGAAGGGCAGGGAACATTTACAGGCATTTGTGGGACCATGTAAGACCTCCCTCACCCGGCCCGGGGCCAGGAGCACGCACCCGAGCGAGAGCGAAGGTATCCAGGAAGACCTCGGCGTTTTTGGCCTCGAATTCCAGGCATGCCTCGACCGTCTCGACGTAGCGTCCAAAGGGAAGGGTGCCGGCGGACATGCCAGGCCGAGCCCCGGACAACTCGCACTGCCGAAGCATTTCCGTCGACTTGGAGCTGTAGTAGCTGGCCGTCTGCCGGAGGAACGGCTCGACAAAGCAGTTCCGGAAGACGGAGCGCGGGTTGTCGCCGAGCTTGGACGAGTCCTCGAGCTCGCCGCCGGCATTCTGTGCGCTGAAGAGCCGGCGCTCGACAAATTCTGCCACATTCAAGGCCATGGGCCAGCATGGGAGTAGGGGAAGGGAAGGAGGAGAGGACCGAGCGGAAGTCAAGCACGGCCGCAGAGGGGACGACAGTGCGACCGAAGGAGCGGCCCGGGGGGGGGGAGGAATGTTAGCCCCCGTCCGGCCGGGCGTCAGGGGGGGGGGGGGGAGAGGAAACACATGAAATGCCAACCCCACAACATACGGAGGGATCGAACAATGATGGCGATCAGGTTGAGGGCACTGCTGCCGGGCTGTGGAGAGACACCGGCGTGCGTGCTGGCGCCCGCCGTGGTGAAGGAGCCAGCCTCTTCGCGAAGTTGGCGCAGGCAATTCAGTAGGGCCCGGATGAGGGGGCCATTTTCCTCCAAGCACATCGGATGGATGACTTTCCGGCTCCAAGAGTGCAGTGCAAGCTGCATGGCGCCAGTCCCACATGGACCCCATGTGTCAGAGGAGCAACAGACGGGCACAAGGGGGGGGGGGGGGGCGGGCGGCAGTGCGCCACACCGGGGCGGAAAGGAGGACCCACCGAGAGACAAACAGGCAGACAGGCGCATATGGACAAGCACGCACCTCTAGCAAGGATAGCCGTGATCGCGGCGAGGCAGATAGAGCCCGGTACTTGGCCAGTAAATGGGCATGCTGTTGTGACGGCGGCGGATGGCCAGCGCGGCCAGGGTCACTCGGGCCCAGAGAGGATGCGGACGCCGGGGCGGCTGTTCCCCCGGCTGCCACGTCCTTATGGTTGAGGCTGGCCAAGTGGGACTTGAGCAGGAGATTCACATGAGAGAAGGCCGCATCCAGGGACCGAGCACATGTGGAGAAGACAATCCACCGCATGGAGTACTCCCCCAGCAGGTAGGTGTCTCCCCGGGTGACTACCGCCTGCAGGGCCTTCACAACGAAGAAGGTAATATCCAGTCACGCCCCGGGGGGGAGGGGGGGGGGAGGGGCCAAAGAGAGGCATGTCAGGCCAAGGCCGTGTTGGGGAGGGGCTCATTCGCCAGGCTAGAGCGCGTACCCGGGCCTGGTCGGCCGCGATTTTGTGGAAGCAGGCCGAGAAAAGAAGGTGCAGTGCTTCGAAATGCCCGGCGTTGATCAGCTGGTGTACATCGCTTCGTAAACGCAGTGCGCGGGTCGGCGATGGTTAGCTCGAGGGCAGGGCCGTGCATGCATGCATGCATGTGTGCATATCTGCCTGTGTGTCTCCATGTATAGACATGTATGTGCGTGTGCGTGTGCGTGTGCGTGTGCGGGAATGGGTGCAAAAGGAGGGGCAGAGGTGGGGGCGGCGGCGGCGGCGGCGGCGGCGGAAGGGGGCGCAAGTGGAGCTGAGGGCAGGGGGGCGGAGTGGGGGGGGGGGGGGATATGACAGCGGGAGCAGCGAATGCAAGGGGACGAAGGACGCACGAAATCCGCTCGGCCGCCGGCAAGGGGATATCCGTGAAGACCGAGTGTCGTAGAAGCGGTCCCTCGGGGCCGGGCTCCGTGGCAATACAGAACATGTTGTCCATGAAGCCCTGGATGCGTCCCCATGTCCGGCCGAATTCCGGGTCATGGAGGCTGTTCAAGATGGTGGCCCACATGGGAAGAGTGCGCAGCGCGCCGGGCCGGGCGGCGGCGGTGGCTACCGTGGTGCGGGGTCACCTGAGAGGAGAGAGAGAGAGAGAGAGGCCGAGAGGAAGGGAGAGAAGGGGCCGGCGCGCGACGTGCGGGGAAGGGTGGCAGGAGGCCTTCGCGTGGCCGAGGACAGGCGCGCAGGAGGCAGCAGGAAGACCGGGGCAAGCAGAAAGGAGCAAGGGAGGAGGGGCAGGAGGAAACTGGGGAAAGAGGGCCAGGAGGGGGAGGATGGTGCAGGCTGGCCGCATCGCCTTCCAGGGGCCGGAACCCAGCCGGCTCCCGATCGGGTTGGCCCTTCTGCGTGCGCCCCTTCGCTCCCTGCTCCGGCCGGGTGCCCACCCAAGCCCGGCTGCCCCCTCCTCGCCCGTGGGCAGGGGAGATCCGGATCGGCGCTCTGGCCGTCGGCGTACATGACAAAGAGACACCTTCCCGCCCATTCTCCAGCCAGGCGGCAAGCGCCCCCGCCCCCCCGCCCCCCGCCCCCGGTGTCGGCCACCGTCGCCGACCGCCGCCCGCGCGAGAACCAGAACTGTCTCAGGGATCGGGATGTCAGAGCTGTGCTGCCAACGGATCGCCCGATTGGACATCGGCCCCCAGCCCACGATCTCGGCGCCCGAGCTGCCCGGCCTCGCCCCGACAGCCGAAAGGGGCGCCGGGGTGCTTGCGTCTGCTGCTACTGCTGCGGCGATGGCATTCCCGTCGCGTTGGTTTTCGAGGCACAAGCATGCTCCCAAGCGGGGAGGAGTAAGGCGGGGGGGGGGGGGGGGGGGGGGGCCGCGCAAAACTCGCACGCCCCTCTGGCATGCATGCACAGGAGGGGAAATGGGAGGCTATCTATTTCACGGGTCCGCCGCCGGGTGCATGCGCGCTCGGCAGGGAGGGCATGCCGGCGGACATGTGCGCAAATCCAAAGTGAGCATGAGGGGAGAGAAGGAGAGGCATGGATGCCGGAGGAGGCGGCAGCCGGTGGGACTAGGTCGACGACGTCCGGGCCGAGAGATTGCCCAGGCCATTGATTGACCAGATCTTCACCGTGTTATCCATCGAGCCGGACACCACGATGCCGGCAGGGGAGACAGCCAGCGAGGTGACCGGACCTGAGCAGGACCCCGGTGGAGACGAGATGCGGACGAGATGCGGATGCGAGGATGGTCAGCAAAAAGGGAAGATGGTATGCACCCCCCCCCCCCGAGCACAGGGGAGCCACAGAAATGCACAACTGCGCGCATGGGCGTGCGTGCGTGCGTGCAGGATGGCGACGGGGAGATCCCGCAATGGCACGCACCATTGTGGGCCGCCACACGGCAGAGAATCACACATTGCACCAGGTCCCAAACGAAGATCTGCCCGGAGTCACCACCGCCAAGTAGGAAGCGATCGGCCGCGGAGCCCTGGCCCAGGGACCCGGGCGAGGGGGCATCGATCCCGGCGAACACACGAATCGTGTCCCCCTCGGTCGGTAGCGGCAGGGAGGTCCGCCCGCCGAGGGTGTCCACGTCGACGATGCGCACGGCCGGCGGAACCGAGGAGCACGACTCACCGGGGACCGGCGAGTAGCCCGACGCCAGGGCCAAACGCGAGGCGGTCGCCCCGCCAACCAGGGCCAGGGCCGTGGCCGCGCCGGGGAGGAAGTCGCTCGCCAGCAGGGACGGCGCCGCGGCCCCCGAGGCCATCGCCTCCAGCCCCGGCAGGCCCCACACGCACACCAGCCCGTCGGCCGCGCCGCTGACAAGCAGCCGACCGCACGCACTCAGCGAGATGGCATGCACCTCCGTATGGTTGTCATGGAGCTCATGCACCAGGACCGTGCGCCCGCCGATGGTCCCCACCGGCGAGGACCACAGGCGAATGGTCGAGTCCCAGGAGGCCGTGGCCAGCAGCGGGCCGCTGACTTGCACGGCGGACACAACATTCTCATGGGCGCTGATGGTCTCGACTATCCGACCGGATGTGGTGGAGTAGAGGTACCTGCGCGAGGGGGCAGCAGCGAGGCCATGGACAGCAGGTCAGTATAGCCGCCACACCGGCCGGCAAACAGCGAGCGAGCGAGCGAGCGAGCGAGCGAACGAGCACGGCCAACAGCGCCCTACGGCAAGAGCCCGCACGCGCGCCGTCCGGGGGTCGTACACATTGCTGTCCCAGCTGCCAATGACGACCACCGGGTCGAGGCAGCCCTCGGCCGATTTGACTCCGCACGAGGAGAGAGTATTGCCGCCGAGGCTCATGGCCTTGGTCTGGCGGCGCTCCACGATCGAGAAGGTCTGCCATGCCAGGCCCCGCCGAAGCCGGGTCAGATACATGCTCTGGTGTGCCGAGACAGGAAAGCGCCGGCCCGCCCCTCGGCCAGGGAGAGGGCGCGCCCGGCGTTGCGTACCTTGAGCGACCCATCACGCGAAACGGTGAAGAAGTTGTCCCCGGCGCCGGCCAGGGCAATGCCCGTGACGCAATCCCGGTGTAGGCGATCCGAGAAGAGCAGCTCCAGCGACTCGATGGTGGTCCAGGAGGCGCCGGCCTCAATGCCAGGCGCACCCGGGGCGATGCTCGACCCGGTCGCGTTGCCTTCTGCCAGGCCGCCGGGGCCCAGACCGCCGGCCAAGCTGCCGGCCCGGCTGCGCCCGGCGGCCTCATCCAGCAGCAGCCCGCCCGGGCTCGGGGCAATGCCGCCCCCGGCGCCGGGGCCCATGGCCGGCGAGTCGTACAGGCGCAAGTCGGCCAGGGTGACGGCCAGCTCGGGCGACGCGGCGCTCGCGCCCGTGGCACGCACCGGGGTCGATGAGCCGCCCAGGTCGTACACGACGCTCTTCCGATCTCTCATCCAGCAGCAGCCCGCCCGGGCTCGGGGCAATGCCGCCCCCGGCGCCGGGGCCCATGGCCGGCGAGTCGTACAGGCGCAAGTCGGCCAGGGTGACGGCCAGCTCGGGCGACGCGGCGCTCGCGCCCGTGGCACGCACCGGGGTCGATGAGCCGCCCAGGTCGTAGGGAACCACCGGGCTCCCTGGGCCGGCCACCGGCCGCAGAGTCATGACCGGCACATCGTCATAACCAAAGCCCCGGGGGGTGGCCAGGCTCGGCGAGGCAGCCTCCTCGGCCAGCTGGTAGGAATAGGGGTGATGCGTCGGGCTGCTCGGGGTTCCGCCGGCATTGAAGCCCGGCACGCCGTCCTCCCCACCCAGGAAGTGCGGCCGCACTGGTGACGAGACCCCGGTCAAATGCGAGCCAATGATGTTGGAGATGCGGCTGCTGACGATCGGCGTCGGGCTGGCCACCGACCCGGGTGTGGGCTGGTGGTGCGGACCGCCGCTGGCATACCCGCCGGGGCTGTAGTAGAGATCGGAAGAGCACACGCTGGCATACCCGCCGGGGCTGTAGTAGTCGCCACTGTTGGCGAGGTCACCGGCGCCCAGCGCCCCGAGCCCCGGCGAGAGGCCTGTGACCAGAGGTGCCGGACGCCCGAACCCCGGGCCAAGCCCAGCCGGGCTGGACACGCCGCCGGAGGGCAGCGGCTCGACCACCGGCGACGCGGCGATCGCATCGCGCTCGGCCCGTGACAGGCGCGCCGGATGCGGCACCTGGAAGAGCTGGCGCGGGGTCTGGCCGAACTCGGTGATCTGCAGCTCGAGGACCGCCCGCTCGCCGGGATCCGTGATGGAGTCCAGATCGACGCTCCCCTCGTACGTCAGGTGGTAGAAGACTGCAGGCGATTGGTGTGCAGGTGCATTGTGCGGGAACGGAAGCCGGAGTAGGGCCCCATCCGAAAAGGTCAGTCACCAAGGGCGGAAAGGGAGAGAGGGAGAGAGAGAGAAAGAGAGAGAAAGCGGGGGGGGGGGGGTGTCCCCTTCGCCCCTGCCTTGGCGCACCGTTGTCGGCCTTGTCCGCCTCCACGCCATTTTGCTTGTACCCAAAGATCAAGTCGATCCACTTGTGCAGATTGGCCGACACGAAGTCCGACTCCAGGGCCTCGCGGTGCATGCGGATGAACTTCGTCGGATCTGCGCATGGGCGGCCGGCCGGGCGAGCCAATCGGCGAAGTTGACAGGTGAGTAGGCGAGGCGAGGCGAGGCGAGGCGAGGCAAGGCGAGGCGGCAGGGCTCCGGGGGAGGAGGGCAGGGTGGGGGACAAAAGCGTGGCTCGCACCGTTCTTCGCCCAGGGGGGGAGCTCGACGTCAGGCAGGCGGGCCGCCGCCGAGCCAGGGTCGGCCGAGGGCTGGATGAGCCCGCGCTTGTTCTCCAGGAAGCACTCGTACCCGTCGTCTTGGATGTCTTCGGGGAGCTGGAAGAACTCCGGGATCAGCTGCATGGGCACCGGAGACAGGAGAATGCCGGTCAGTTAGCCTGGCAAGACGAGGTAGCCGGGGGCAGGGGGGAGGGGGACAGAGAACCAGAGGCCACAGAGGCACACACACACACATACCTCCTTCACGTCGCTGTTCCCGTGGAGGAGGTTATTCCAGGTGGACGCAAGCCGCGAGAAGACCCGGCCATCGGCCGCGTCGTACTTGCCTCCGTGCAGGCAGAGCGCATGCTCCGGAGCCACGCGCACCAGGTAGTACAGCACATAGCCCGGGGTGGAGTAGTGTGTGCCATAGAGGAAGCGCGGCGGCGGCATCTCATTGTACCGATCCCGCAGGGCGGCCAGGCGTTCGGGGTTCAGAGCGCCAATCGGCTTGGACAGGTCGCGGTAGACCGCCGGATTGGATAGGTCTGCGATGTAGGACGACCCGGGGCACAGGGGGGCGGGGGGCGGGGGGCGGGGGGCGGGGGGCGGGGACCGGGGGGCGGGGCATGGTCAGCAAGTGGCAGCGGCCGAGAGGGCGTCGGGAGAACCGGGCAAGGCGCACCCAGCGTCGGGCTGGTGTAGTCCGACAGGATCCAAGGGAAAACCGGGTACTGGGTCAGGTCGTTGACCGTCCGGTCGGCCTTGGAGTTCAGGTACCAGAGGTAGTCGTAGTTGGAAATCCGGCCGGTTTGCCAGAGGTGTAGCGCGTCGCGCGAGGAGTCGGTCGCCAGTGACCGGCCCATTCCTGCAGAGCGGGCATCAGGAGGAGGGGGAGGGCGTCAGCAGAGCCAGAGGGCGGAGCAAAGGCAGCAAAGGAGGGGGGCACTCGGATGTCCGGGGGCCGGGGCGGGGGGGGGGGGCGCACCGGGCTGCTGCTGGATCAGGCGGTGGGCGTGGTCGCGATCGGCGCGCGAGGCGAACGACACAAACAAGGTCCGACGGTCCTTCATGTGGAGCTCGAGGCCCTGAAATGGCCAGGGGGAAAGGTGCGTCAGAGGGGGAGGGCGGGGGGGGGGGGAAGGGCAGATGGAGGCGTTGGTGCTGGCTCCTCGAGCGGAAGAAGCCCGCCGTAAGGGGCGGAGAAAAGGGAGCAGGAGCAAATGGGGCAACGGGCACACACGCACCACCTGACGCATGAGGTAGCGCCGGGGGACCAGCTGGCGAATGTCGGCCACCGGGTAGGAGCTCACCGGGTCCGGGTCGATGGAGCTGATCGGGTGGAAGTACACGCGCTCCTTGGTGATGGTCAGCTTGCCGGGCATGGCCACGAGCGGGGTGATGCGCGAGCCTGTGCCAGGTGGCCAGGCAATGTGGGAGCCCCGGTCAGTAGGGAGGTTTGCGAGGCAGCGCGAGCGGGGGCCAGGGGGGCGGGGCAAACGAGCAACCGAAGGCAGGGAGAGAGAGAGAGAGAGGGAGGGAGGGAGGGAGGGGCGAGCTCGCGCGCGCGAGCGAACAGACACATACATGAATAGGTCCGAAGGCAGGCTTCGTCCAGGCTGACCAGCCAGGCCGGGTCGAACTTGGACTCCTCCTTGAGCTGGTGCACGATGCTTGGCAGGGTGGGAGGAGCAGTCAGTGACGGGAGCCACGGGCCGGGAGAGGTGCCGCCAGGGGCGACAGGCGAGCACAGGGGAACACACCGGCGGAGCTCCACTTCGCGATCCTGTGCATGCAGCTGGTCCAGAGACCGGTACTTCTGCAGGGTCATGAGAAAGGTCCCGAGGCCGACGTGGTTCAGCTCGAAGCGGAAGGCCGGCGGATCCTGCGGAGAAACAGGGGTGGGGGGGGGGGGGGGGGGGGGGGGGGGCGGGGAGGGGGACCGGGCAGGCCCGCATGGCCTCGCGTCAGTGGTGCGGACGTGTGTTTGAGCTTGGGGCCTGGCATTCAGGGGGGCGGATGGCGCACCTTCTTCACCAGATACGGCGCGGCCACGCCGCCAGCCATCATCTCGATGCTGCGAGTGGTTTCGATGACCACCAGGCCATCGGACGATGCGGAGGAGCTCCCGGACCCGGCGGACGACGTGGGGAAGCTGGCCAGCGACAGCAGGCTGTCCAGCATGCCGGAGCTCTGGCGGCTGGCCGCCTGGACCTTGGCCCGGCGATCGGCCGAGCCGGACGACACGCTGGTAATGTCCCGAAAGCGCAGGCGGATCAGCGGCAGCAGGTCGCCCGGGCTGGAGACCAGCCCGTCGGACACAGGCTCGAAGACCAGCGACGAGGTGCAAAGCTTGAGCCGGCCGCGGACCTTGCTGCAGGCGAGGCGAGGCGAGGCGAGGCGAGGGGTGGGAACAGGGGAAAGGGGGAGAGGGAGGTGAGTGAGGGGATGCGCGGGTGTGAGGGAGGAGGGAGAAAAAAAGGCAAGCAGGGCAAGGGCCGGTACCGGGTTCCCATGTTGACGGCCGACTCGATGGGCATCAGGAGATGCACGCTGAAGTCCTCCAGGTACAGCTCGCCCGGGTCCAGGTGCAGGAGGCTGAAGCGCTGGCGACCGCGTTCGCGCATGACGGCGCGGTGCGCCTCAACGAAGGAGGAGGAGGACTGCGACGTCCAAAGAAGGGGCCCGGAGGCCGGCAGGGCCGGCGAGGCCAGCGAGTGCGTCATGGCAATGAAGCGGGCAGAGCAGGCAGGGGAGCTGGAAGGGGAGGGCCGGCTCCGACTTAGGGCTGGCCCTGTTGGCAGTATCGGTGGCGGCGGCGGCGGCGGCGGCGGCGAAGGAACAGGAGCAAGAGGTGCGAGAGATCGCGATAGCCCGGCGGACAGGCGGACAGCAGGCGGAGGGCGCGGGGCGCGGCAAATGGAACGGGGTGAATGGGTGTGTGTGTGTGTGTGTGTGTGT